CTCGCCCGGCCCCGCCACGGGGGGGAGCGGGCAGCGGGCCCGGCGTGCCAGACCCCGCAGGGCACGGCAGCGGGTAGCAGCAGGTACCCGGCCTCGCCGAGACGAGGCGGCATCCAGCTCCACCAGAGCCCCCCCGCGCCCCCCGAGAAGAGCCGGCCCCCCGCCAGGGCTGCAGCGCACCCCGGTGCCGCCTCCCGGGGCGGCCCCTGCAGCCGGGGCACTTGCGGGTGAGCTGCCGGGCTGACGGGGCGATGAACTCTCTCTGACTCTGGCAGAGTCAGTGAAAAAAAAAAAAAATACTGTTTGGGGATTTGGCCGAGAAGCAAATGCGGCAAGAGCATTCCTCTGCACGGCTGGGGTGCTGGGGAGAGGGTGCCACCCCCCCAGAGCACGATTAAAAGAGCCAGGAAAAATGGGACAAGTGCTGTTTCACTAATAAAAGTACTTCAATAATCAGTTTCAAAATGCTGCAATAAAATACGGAGTCTCTTTTCTGGAGGGAAAAGCCCTGTATGTATTTCTTGAATAGATGTTTTGTTACAGTGTGGGTAGCTTTTGCCACTTTACTTTTTTCTTCCAAAAGTCATTCCGTGATCTAAGAATATCTTTGTTAAAAGTAAATGGACTGTCTCTAGGAACGACACAGCTGTGCACTGCAGTGCGGTTCTGCTAATAGTGATCTACATGGAAAGAGTTTCCCGCTGGATAAGCTGCAGTGCTCAGTCCATCTGCTTTACCATGGCTGAACTGATCCCTGAGCTCTTACAGAAGGCGAGACCTGTATTACCAGTAAACCAAGCAGCCAGCCAAAGGTGATTTAAAGATGTCTCTCCTGCTCAAGCCTTGCTGTGTGAAGATGATCAGCTTCCATTTTATGGCACGCAGTCATGATTTGCAAACATTAAGAGATGACAACACGCTACTTCTTCGGGTATTTTTTTTGCCAAGTTCACTACTTTGCTGAAACTTGGGGTTTATTTCTAATATGATGCCTTCAGCTTCCAAGCAGTGGATCTAGCTACATGTCTGCTAGACCTTTTCTCTCCTTTAATTTTACTATGCTGTAAACTGATTTGCATCTTGATCTATCTTCTTCCTGATAAACTAAATGGGCTGCATCCTTTACACCTCCCACAATCCTTAAGGCTCAAAACTTTTCAAATCTTTTCCAGAGCTGGAACCACTCTCTCCTGTTTCTGAAGATGCTTTGCAAAAGGGATACCAGGACAGTACCAAACACTGTGATGTCTCTCTCACTAACGGTTCATACGGAGCTAAGATCACCTCTCTATTTCGGATCACAATTTTCCACTTAGGTAGCTAAGCTTCTCATTAGTCTTTCCTGGAAACTTCTGTCATTTATTCCCTCTGATCCATAAACCCTTTCCCAAGCCACTGCTTTCCATGTTCTGGTCACCCCTGCAGCGTAGGGAACCATGGGAGGCCTGAGGCATACGGCACCCACCGTTTGTAAGGACCAGCGTGCCTGCGGCAGACCCATTGGAACCGTTAATACATCAACTGTCGTGATTGCACAGTCAGGTAGAAATGGATGGTTTGAAAAGATGTGAAGTTTATTTCTCCTGCCTCTCTGCAAAGGCAGGAGTTGGCAGGAGTATTAATTAAGTAAGTAATCTACAGGGTTGCTGCTGACCTTTACAAGCACAGAAGCTAGGAGGGCCACGGGGTACCCAGCAGGAGCCCAGGCAGGAAGAGGATGCCAAAAGGCTGCTTACCAGTGGTACCAGTGAAAGCCAAACGGGCAAGCTGATCCGTAACACCAAGAGATGCTCTGGGATTCACAAGGCAAGGAGATCTGGGCAGAAGGACCTTAACAAGTCAAAAGATGCTCCAGTAAAGAAATGAGTGTAAGGTTTGATATTTTTGTTGGTTTTACCTCCCCATGTTGTTCAAATAAAGAATAATTTGTTTTAATTATCCAGCTCAAATTCAATATGAACACATGTTGCATCTTGAAGAGTTCAGAGGTAAATTCACATTGTGTGTTTGAAGCAACCTGAGTGTTTAATTGTCTGCTCTTCTAAATACCAAGACTTGGAATTCAGGTCTAATGTTGAATTTGGCTCTGGGGTAGCTCTTGCACACACTCTCACTTTCTTCTCTCCAATACATGAACAGAAAAAGTAATTCCTGATTGCAGTATGAATCTCTCAGATGGATGGGTGCATGACAAAGCAAACATTAATTTTGCTGCTAAAGAATATGTAGCTAACATAACAGGGAAACTACAGTTAATGAAAACAATCCCTTTCACTGAGAGGCAAGTGTGTCTAAATAGTTTAATCTTTACATATCTGCACTTCCTTAATAAAGTTATCAAAGTATTACCAACCAGTGGGAAAAGGAGGTGTCATGAGAAGTGGCTGTGGTCCATTAGAATATTTTTTTAAATCCTCTTTTCCTCCTGCATTTTTTGAAACTGTTGAAAGCGCTAGTAGATGTACCTGGCAGGAGTGCCCTGAATGCGCCTGACTCCGGTCGAGGCCAGCAGCTTGCTGCTGTGGTCTGAAGCGTGAGCTCTCTCTGAGGGCAAAATCTGGGGTGTCTTCACATGAAGCTCACCATTAATTCTTAGACACTTACTAAACTGGTACCTGTCTGTAACTTTTGCTGCACATTTAGCATGACTCTTTAAGAGTCAAACATTAATCTATAGACTACCCTCATCACCCGGGAAGCAGGGCAGCGCTGTGAAGGCCATATTACAATGGGAGAGGAAGCCTTCTGCTTCTGTCACCAGTTTCATTTGGTCCTTTACACGTTGTCACCTGACGACTGTTATGAAATAAACTGGTGGCTTCATCCAGGGTGCTACTAAAATATGGCTCCATCTTAGAAAAATGACTTTGCACCTTGTACTTCGCACAAGAGGTCATCAAGAAGGCCAAGGAATGATTTCCAAGGAAACCCATCTTCTCAATTTGTGGGGAATACATCCAGAAACAGCTCAAGAAACTTCACCTGTGAGAACGAAGCTCATGCTGCCATTTCCGAGGTGGGAAATTTCCTCTGGAGAGAGGAAATCACCTTTTGGTCTGACCCTTGCCATGGTTATCGTATCAACAGGAAATTAAAATAGAATGATAGAATCATGGAATCATAGAATCATTTAGGTTGGAAAAGACCTTCAAGATCATCGAGTCCAACCGTCATCCATGCCCACTAAACTATGTTCTGGAGTACCTTGTCTACGCACTTTTTTAATACCTCCAGGGATGGTGACTCAACCACTTCCCTGGGCAGCCTATTCCACTGTCTGACAACCCCCTCAGTAAAGAAATTTTTCCTAATATCTAGCCTAAATCTCCCTTGCTGCAACTTGAGGCCATTTCCTCTTGTCCTAAAAAAAAATTATCTTCACTTGAACAGGAGTATTATTTCACACTATTGTTGCAGGCTGAGGCTGTGCTTCTTCCCATTCCTTTCTGAAAGAGAGGCAGTAAAGGAATGCTGGTAACATCTCTTGCAGTTTCAGACAGCTCAGAGGAATAATGTATTAAGTCTATCAACAGTAATAGATAAAAGTTCAAAACAGTCTTGGCAAGTGAGAGAAACTATGCCTTTCTAGGAGTCTGAAATCTAACATCAGCATTAAGGCCTCTACCGACAGGTTTAAAGTGTGTATGGGGTCTTCAGATGCATTAACTTCAGGAAGATGTTTATAGAAAATGAATCCATATATTACTCTCCGCCTAGGAGAAAATTTATCGAGGGAACAAAGCATAAAGTTCATGAGTAGATGCGGTTATTTGCTTAATGAAGGGAAGAGACTGGAGACTGTGAAACCAGTGCCTAAAAGAATTGGTTATCACCTCACATGGCGGTATTTGGGAAAGTTTGGGTTGCTCATTTCAGAGGCACGGGGCATCCAGAGCTCCCAGCTGGAGCCGTGGATACTCATTGCCTTGAAAAGCCAATCCCCTTCTTGAAGCCCACAGCAGTCCCTGCCCCAAGATATAGCCGCAAATACGCATGCCCTCAGGGCTGTTAAAAACCCACTTATGCTTTGAAGAGCGAGGGGAGGCAGCTCACCCCGTCCCAAGTGGTGCCAGGACCCAGGGGGTCGGCGCAGCTGCAGCAGCTGCCGGCGCGTTCCCAGCCGGCTCCCTTGCCCCGATGGCAGGAGAGCTGAGCCACAGAGAGCCGGTGGCAGCACCTAGCAATTACCTTCTGGCGCTCACTTCCAGGCAGAGCCAGGAATATCCCCTTCCCTCCACCTGCCTCTTTGTGAGTAACCGGGAACATGCTGGACTGGGCTCGGCACTGGCCTGCCTGCCTTCTGTGATGCTCTGTGCAGCTTTCCACCGCTGTGGCCTCCTTGGGCTTGTAGGGCTCTCTTCCAGAGAGCCAAGTAGAAGACGATTCGGCTTCAGTGAGTCCTCGGTTGCTTTGCCTCAGCTTTGCAGACAGTACGGGGCAGACACAGCAGAGCTGCTACAAAGTGGGAGCTTTAACTCTCACTGAGGTTTATCATCGTGGTGTTAGTGGAGGTCAATGCGACGTACAGTTACACAGATATATTCCACAGGCTGTCACAAGCTGCAGGTTATTCCTACTTTTTTTTTTTTTTTTAACCTAAAGAGTCTGACATTGTAGTTCAAAACAATCTCAAAGCAGTGTTGTCAGGAGAACTCAAAAGCTCCTGGCCCTGTATTGATTTCACAATATCAAACTGTTTCTAGAAACAGCTACCAAACCACTCTTGCTGTATTATCTTTAAAAAAGTTACCAAAAGGGATGAGCTCTGAAAATAAGCAGTTTGGGAGTCTCCATAGGTAATACTGCAAAACAAAATGCCACCACATCTGGGGTGTAAACATCTGAGGAGCCTCCTCTCACTTTAATTCCAAAGTTACAGGCTTTCTTTACAAACCGAGCGTCTCTTCCTTTTTAATAA